AATACCAAATTTAGGGCCCTATTCAGTAATTTATCGTTTATGAACGACATCGTTAAGCTAACGACAGTTCAACCAACGACTTTTATAACGATAATTTTTGAAACTCTATTCAATAACAAAGTCGTTACGTTGTTTCTAGTTACCAAATTTGAACGATGATTTCTAGTCAGTTGGTATTATAATTTAGTGTTTTGTGATAAAAGAACGTATGTTGATGATAATACCGGGTGTTTAAATTAAAGTTTTACAGTTAAATATCGCCAAAAATATGAATTTTATAAAAAAAAAGTATCAGACAGAAGTTTTATAGTTTTTTAGGGGAAACATTTTGGCCAAATTATTTTTTTTTATAGCTGACCATATGGCCATATCGAGGTGGATTTTTTTTTTCAAATTGGAACCCTATTTTTTTACATAGGTATTTTTAGAGTTCATAAAAAAATAAGAAACTTCTAAGGACCGATTCCACCGTTGTGTTAAAATCGGCCCTAAAGGAAACATTTTTTTTATTGGATTTCTACTTATTGAGTAACACCTACTTGAAAATTTTGCTGCGCGAAAAAAAGTTGGCCATATTATGGTTTGCTATAAAAAACATTTTTAGCCAAAATGTTTTCCCCAAAAAACTATAAAACTTTGTTTTTTTTATATAAAAGGCGGTATTTAACTGTAACCCTTTAATTTGAACACCCGGTATATTTGACATTTTTTTGGAACTAGTAGATATATTCATTTGTTTTTCAGAATATATTAATTATTGTTCTTTAAACCTACAACACGATCATCAGGGGGTCGATTCTCGATTCGTAGTAATTCTGTTTCTCGCGGGCCATTTTTGCTGGTCGTATTGTATGTAGGGTTTATTTAAATGAGTATGGATATATTAAAAAAAACAGAACTATTCCATAAGAATACAAAAAACAACTCGAGAACAGTACAAGTTGTATTTATTGGATTTGAAAGACAAACCAAATTTGTGTAGGTTACGGAGAAGTATTATAGGTACTTCCATAATATAGGTTCTGTTACTGTTTCGCAAAGAACAGCACTGTTAATAAGAATCGAATAGTAAATGGTTGAATGGGCAATCCTAACTTTGAATCAGATTTATTTTTAAAATAATTAAATAAATTAGAAAAAAATTCCTTACACATTGTACTTGCTGTATTAGGTAGATGTCAATTTAGTTGTAAAATTTGTAAAAAAGTGCTTTTATTATTTAAAACAATGAAAAATGAGAGGGAATGCAAAAATCACTATAACGACACTTCATATTATTAACGACAGCTCTTTGGCTATCGTTGATGAACGACAATTTTACAACCATATTTGTCTATTTTCAACGACAATCGTTGTCTACTGAATAAGAAAAGTCGTCTGTGAACGATTATCGTCTGTTAACGACGTCGTTCAGAGTTACTGAATAGGCCCCTATAATTCTCGTTGACACATTAAATTTGGATGGACAACGCTCTGACATGTGATGTTCTCAACTGTGATTGGTGGGTGTGAATAATTTCGAAATGGGATTATGCGCAGTGTCTTATGTTCCATCTAAGGTTTGTATAATCTAAGATATTAGGGTGGTACCCCAGTATATATACCAATACATGCTGCGTTTGAGAATCCACATCGGATGCATCTGAGATGTAAAAAATCTTTGATCACGTGGTTCAGTATACGTAAATGTAATGGGACAGATGTGTCCGATGTGGATAAAAAAACGCTCGAGATGTAAAAAATGCATCCGATGTGGATTCTCAAACGCAGCAACAGTAGCGACAGATCATTTTTTATGAGGGGTCCATATTTTTCTGCGCATGTCCGAAAATAAGCGACAAAAACGTCAACGTCAATAGTGTCAATGCGATGTAAATGTAAATATGTCATTATTTTTGTTTGTTTGCAGTGCATATTTTGAGACATTTTTATTATTTTAGTTTTTCATTTATTGTGTGATATTTTTGAAATGGCTTCTGCACCTGATCATAAAAGAAAGAGATGTGTCTATCGCCCTTGTCCATCTCAAACAGAGTAAACAGACAAAGGGACAAGTTATTTTGCATTTCCCATGGAGCCAGAAAGGTATGTCTTAAGAAAATACTTTCAATTTTTATATTTGAAAACCAAATATTTATTTGACAACCAAATATTTATTATTTAAATGTCTGGAGGACAATTTTTACAATTTCAACATAAATAATGTAAAAAATATATAATTTCTGAAGTACCGTCAATCTAAACATTTGTTATCAACTTTTTTATATTTTAGGGCCAACATGTGGTTAAGAGCTTGTAATAGGGAAGATTTGAGTAACATAGATGTGAACAGTCTTCATCGGAATTACAGGTTGTGTGAGAAACATTTTGAGAAGAATTGTTTTTCTAAAACGTTGAACCGTAAACGTTTATTGCCTACTGCTGTTCCCACATTTTTTATCCATCTAGGTCATCAGCCAAATGTCTATCTTCTCCCTAATACATCGACCAAGTGCTTCCTCTGTTGAGACTATCATTGAACATGAACGAGACATTTTTGAAAGCGTACCATGTGCAACCTTTGGACATTCTTAATCAAAAATCCTACCTCCAAATTATTATAATGAATTAGATGTTCTTTGATTCACTATGTCCATTGATTAAAAATGTTCTGATTGACTACATCTAATCAAAATATATATGTATTTCTTGTAAAGTAGCCAAAATAAAACAAAAAAATGTATTTTGTGGTGTTATTATTTTAACTGTTTTTTAATTTTTGATTTGTTTCATTTATACAATATTTAAGCACTTAAACAATAATATATATAAACTTATAAATAGTTGTATGATATATATATGTTAGGGAAATTAGGACAAGGATGATTAAATTCTATTTCTTTCATAATATCAAAAAAAGCTATGCGATATACCAGACATTACACAGGTATTGCTAAAAATAGATATAACATTTTTTTATAATTTAAATATATAGATAATAAACTTTTCATTTGGAGTTTTTAGGCCTCCATAAGTGCTTTATTTGCAATCATATGTTAAAATCTGTGAACTATCCAAATCTTCACATTCTTTTGAAAATTTAATAAATGTATTACATCCGTGTATGCCTAAAGCTTTTTTGATCAAATAGCCACAAACATATTTAAATGGATTTTGAACTATTATATCTTCTGTCCTGTAGCTGTAATTAGGAAGAAACACAGCTTCTCGAGTGTTTTTATTTATTTCAGGATACAGAGAGACAATATTTTTTACATCTAATTGTAGCAAGTGTTTGTGCAGGTCTTCATTACAATTCATGGAATTGCAATGAAGATAATTTTGACAAAAAAGTTTTTTAAATGCCCTTTCGAATTGTACAGGTGTTGGATTAATTAAATTCCCACCCTGTTGCCTAATGGACCCAACAAATTTTTCTAGACAGTCACTGTTGATTCTTCTAGCCATTAAATATTTAAATCCCGCAGCAGATAACCTTTCCCATACAAATTTTAAACCATAAAATCGTTAAATATAAACATCTAATTTTTATGATGTGACGTTAATAGTATTTAATTATATACATAGGTAATATAAGCAATTGGGCAGCATTGTGCTTAACGGGTGATTTACAACAGGCATTTGCTAAAACTCATCTGAAGTCAAAAATTTGTACGTAGGAACAAAAATTGAAATAAAATAATTCTTGTATTGTAAATTCATTAAAAACTTACTAATTTGTAATTGTGTGTTTTAATAAATATTATTGTTATATGTTGTTTCACTTCTAAAAAGATACCTACATAACCTCATTTTAAATAAAAAAAATAAGGTGCAGAGTTAATTTATTAGTTCCAGGAAGAAACCAAAAAATGTTTAACACATTTCATACAATGAATGGCATACAAAAGTAATTTATTTTAATCTAATGATAAAATTTTAAAATTGGCACATCTAGATTTTCACCGGAACTCATTTATTTAAGTTACACAATATTTTGATTAATTTATTTGCCTAGAATATATTAAAATGTTATATGTACATGTTTTAATTTTTTTCTAAGTGTACATCGCTAATTTGCAATTTTAGATTTTACTTTTCTCCGTGTAGAAATAAGCGACAAAAACGTCAACTGTCATTGAAAATCTGACCACCCCGACATCAAAGAAGCCGACGCAATCTGTCGCTACTGTATTGTTCTTTATACTGGGGTGGTACTCACACTGCTTTTCCCCATAGTTGCAGAATATGGCTCCTGATTTTTAGTATTATACAACATGGTTGATTAATCTATGTAACTATCTACATCATTGACCATGTCAAATCACCAAACCCACAGGGTTGCCACATCATAACTTACAGACAACCAATAGCTTTGTTCGCGGTAAGAATCCTGAACCGAATTATTACTAACAGTAACGATTTCGCAGGCGCAGTAGTTAAAAAGCGTTTGCGGAACAAAAAGAACTGAACTATTGGTTCTATCCTGCGTTCGCGGTAAAATAATTATTGGTTTTGAACCGCTTGTCTATACCTGAAACACCGAGATATAATAGGGATTGCGCGCGCGGTAAAAATTCAGAATTGATAATTATTCGGGCATGCGCTCAAAGTATTAATTAGTAATTCTGAATCAGTTCAGGATTGTTACCGCGAACAAAGCTATTATTTTTTTTTAATCATCGTGACAAAAAAAGATCGATTCTCAATTAGGCATTCCAACGACCTGTCAAACAATAGGTATCAGTGGGAAATTCTTGTATATGTAAGGGGGTAGCGACATAGTCTTGCAACTTGGACGCTATTTTTATTCGAAGTAGTACTCGCCAAGCCTGCCAATTTATGAAGAAATGTATAGGTGGGTTTTTTAAATATTATTTTTATTGTGTTTGACATAAAATATTTAAATGTAATCCATTATTCATGATTTTACGTAAAGTAGATAGAATACACCATATGTCGCCACCCTCAGATATACCAAACCTGCCCACTGGTAATTCATTTGTTTGGAATGCCTAATAAAATCGAATCGAGATCGGAAACCCTAACCTAAAATAAAACCTAATTGTCAATAATTATTTATTTATACATAACAATAAGATATTTTTTGATAATTGCTTTTTTATTTGTATAATGGTCAGCATAAATAAGTCATTTTTTTATGGAATAGGTGTAGCTTCTATTACCTGGTTAATGTCTTTGTGTTTTTATTTCCAATTAATTAAACATGATAATTTAAATACAGTTTTCCCCACAAATAATTTAGAAAGTCACAATAGTTCTCATCTTTTAAAAGATGGTAAGTCTATTAATGAAATACCTACATTAGAATGATAACACTAAAGATTTAATTATTTAGATATGAATGACATAGGCCTAATAAAAACTACAGAAGATCAAAGAATAAAAGATGAAGGTTATAAGATACATGCCTATAATACTCTTGTTAGCAACAGATTGAGCCTTAATAGGACCATACCAGACACTAGAAATATTTTGTAAGTTAAAAATAAAGTACAAAACATATTTTGATTGATTTTATAATTGTAGATGCAAGAATAAAATTTATATGGACAATCTACCTAAAGCAAGCGTAATTATTTGTTTTTATAATGAACATTTAAGAACTTTACTCAGAACGGTACATTCCATTATAAACAGAACTCCTAGTAATATGTTACAGGAAATAATTCTTGTAGATGATGAAAGTGATATTCAAGACTTATATAAAAACTTAAGTACATATATTAATAAACAAAAATTAGTTAACGTAAAACTATTTAAGACTGATAGAAGAGAAGGACTTATAAGAGCGAGGTTGTTTGGGGCTAGAAAATCTCAAGGACAGGTAAATATATAAGCTAATATTATTTTAGTGAATGAAACATTTTGATGTTGGGAATGAAGCACTTATTAAAGAATAGGGCACTGTTTTAGGTATTTTTTTAATTATATATTCTAACAGCACTAATAAAACACCAAAACAGTGTTTTTATAGTTTCTCTATTATAAATGCATTATTTTTGGTTAATTTAATGGAAATCGTTTGCACTGCCAGTGATATGGAGAAGTTCTTTAGCCCATATTCCTCAACATATCTACCTAGGTGGAAATTTTTGATATACAACTTCCTAAATCTGATATTTTATACCATTGATTGGATAATTAATGTTCTTTTCCTGCAACCATTTTATCTTTTGTACAACTATAACATGGAATTGGTTTCATATACCGCGAATGATAACTGGCATTATCAATTATAATCAAAGACTAGGTATAAATTTCACCCTAAAATATTTTTCAAAATTTTCTGTGTTCATATTATTATGGTATTCTCTGGGTTTTGTTTGACTTTTAAATATGAGGTCCTCATTTTTTATAAACCCTTCTTCATTGCCACCATGAACAATTATGTATCAAATTCCATGTCCTGTTTTTTTTTACTTGCTGTAGGTATTATCCCATCTTGCACTTTTTCTTTCACTTCTCTTGCTTTATAATCACATCTCTTCCATAAATACAGGCTTAAAGTTACCCATCTTATATATAACTTGCCTCAACTTACTTAATACTAATAATACTTAATATTAAGAATTAACTTTTGTTTTACTTTGGCTTACTTTTTTTAGACATTATTTTCACATTTGGTTTACCAAGTTTATAGATAGTTTTCTGCAAAATATTTAATACCTCTGCAGCCGTTTGATTGTACCTCTTTCCAAAAGCCTCCATATAAATTTTTGTCTTTTAAAATAGGAAATTATTAGGATTCAAGTTTTTGATTAATCACTAAATTGTTTCGCTATTTTGTTGAATAATTATAAAAACTTTTGAAATATCAAAATATTCAAATTTTTAACAAATTAATAAATTCAAAATTATTTTGACAACTGCCAACTGACATAATAACATTTATTTATTCATCCAACTGATCACTACGTCACTGATTCAGAGTGTAATACTCTGAAATATTTCAAACAGGTTCTTAAAAATAAAACAACCTATTGTGAAAATTAATTTCTTATCTTTGCTTTCTATTTTGTTTTAATTTAATCTCAACATTATAATAGTTTTTACTAATTTACCACAATTTAAATAATCTTTCTCTTTTATGAATATAGCAGAACTAAATATTTTTAATGAGATTGAAAATGAAGAAAATGAGATTGAATTAAATAAAAATTCTCCTTATCCCTTGAACAATTTTTTAAATATTATCAGTTGCAATGATCATTTAACAACCTTAATAAAAAATTTGCATTTGAATATTAGAAGTATAAAAAAAAATTGAATTTTTTTAGTATTTTTAGAAACTTTTGGTTTAAAGGACTTGGATATAATAATATTAGGAGAAACACGTAATGTTATTGAATTTGATAATTTAATTATACCTGGTTTTATCAATATATTTAATGAAAGTGTGAATAATCAATGTGATGGTGTAGTTATATATATTAAAAACAACATTCAGTTTGAAATAGAACATACAAAGTTGCCTCTATCAAATGTAACGATAAGCTCAATAACATTTAGTCATAATGGTGTGCCCTATACAGTAATCCCTTGTTATAAATCTCCATCCATATCAGATGATACATTTCTTACAAATTTTGAAAATTTCTTAAATAATATACCAAGAAGACTAGGAGTGGATATATTTATTGGTGACATTAATATTAATATCCTTGGTCCCTCAAACCAAATAACAAATAGATGTTTGGCAATGTTATCTTCCTTGGGATTTGTATCATATATTAATTCATACACCAGGGTTACTGTAGAAACGAAATCATGTATTGATCATATTTTTATAAAAAATATGCCTAATACAAATTTTTCATTTAAATCGTTGGTAATTGACACTGATCTAACTGATCATTTTAATGGGGCATGTTCAAAAATTTTGAAATTTTTTTTATGAATAATAGAGTTGAAAATAAAATTACATTTTTTTAATTTTTTTTTTTATCTATTCATTTGCCGGAGTTATGAATTTTTTTAAAATTTATGACGTCACCGGGAATAGACCAATAGGAGCTAGCGCACAACGTTGCCGGCTAGAAGGTTTACGAGAAGTGATGTACGTTCGTTTGTGTACTCCTTCTTACTTTTAGACTTCTAAAACATCGTTAAACAAATATCTTTTAAATATATAATATCAAATGTTTTTTGAAAGTATTATTTCTGTTTAAACTTTTACCATATTTAAAGTTTCACTGTTTTAAAAGTCACTTAATAATTCAGAAAATGGCAAAATGGCAGCACTGTGTATGGCATCTGTCATCATAGTGTCTCCATCAAGAATTTATTTGGAATTTGATTGTTTAATTTTGTACTTTTTATAAATATTATGACTACGAAAAAGTGTTTTGTTCCAGAATGTGATAATGATTCACATTCATCTTCAAAAATATTTATTAGTGTTCCTAGAAATTTGGAAAGAAGAAAATCAACCTTCTACTAGCGATGTTTCTCGTGAACTTTTTAATAAAAATACACCGGATTATCAAGATGTAGCAGCAATTTCTGCTAATTGTCCCCTTCAGGAAATTGAAAATAAGGCTACTATAAATTCTTAGGTGTATAACCTAAAAACCCTTCTGGAAGAAAATGCAGAATCTCCTGAAAGTTTTGAAGATACCGAATTTATTCATCATTTTGTGGAAGAACTAGTGATAAAGAAATAATGGAAAAATGTGGGTATTTAAACACACTGGTTCCTGGATCCCATATAATGGCAGATAGGGGTTTCAGAATAATCAGCTACTTGAAAACATGGGATACACTTTAGTAAAGCCACACCTAGTGTATCACAGAATGAAAAAACTTCTCCAGAAGATGTACAATTAAGTAAAAGAATAGCATCTCTAAGAATACATGTGGAAAGAGTTATAAGAAGGGTTAGTTAATTTAACATGTTAAAACCACATTCGTGTGTGAATTTTAAGCAAGTACATTTACTTAGTAATATCTGCATAATTGCTTGTTAACTTACAAGAACCTATTTTGTAAGAGTAAATATTAATTTAATAAACTTTTTTGTTTGTTTTTTAATTTAATTTACCTAATTATCACATTTCAGGGATTATAATGAGTTTTTAAACAGCCAATGTAATTTTTGATAAAAATTTAACTTTTCGAGCAAATCGAAGAGGAATGAGTACCTGTATATGCATAGATTTTTTTGGGACTAAAACTACCAAAACAAAGGCACCTATTTACAGCAGTTTAAAATGAAACATTTTAACAAAAACGCCTATGTCACAGTGACAAATATTAAAAACCAAGTTCAGTTGAATGTGGTAGCAAAGTCTATATATTCCAATAAATCGGGTAACTACATGTGGTATCACTGGTGATAAATTTAAAAATATCACAATTATTGCCACCTTTTTCAAAAAACCAGAAAGTGTGCCTTCTTATGAAAATGACAACAGTGATAAATGTGAAAAAAAAATTTCATGTTGCTATTCGTTATTACGATAGTAAAACATGTTTGCAGTTCCGTTTATTTTTTATGAAACTCTAAGTAAAAACAACCAATGTCAAAGGGTTTTAATTTTTTTTCTGTCAAACCAAATATATCACAAAATTAAAAATTGATCATAGGTCAAGCTAAAGTAATACCTTTATTAATAGTAGCTTTAAAAAAGGAGAAAGAATAATATTGACTTAAGTTATTATTATTAACATTGGTGATTTTTAATAAAAACTTCAATTATTGTTTACAAACAAAAATATAAAAATCTGTGAAAATTTTATTTATTAACCTTTTAATAAAAAATGAGAAAAATGAAGTAAAAAAACAATTTATTTACAAATAAAAAATATATACAAATCCTAAGAATATAAAAGTACTGATTTATTTTCCTGTAGTGGATGAAGAGGTTTCTTTAACAATCTAGCCAAGTGTACATCATTATCAATAACACTGAGTAGATGTTACAGATGGTTCCTCACTTCTTCTATGAAGCCACATGTTTACAACCTCCTGAAAAAAATAAAAGGGTTAGATATGCAGTTACAAAATAACTATATAACCAGCTACAAAATGCCTTATTTTATGTAACAAGACGAGCACTTTACTAGCTCTGAACGAATCCAGTAAAGAACCTCTGATTTTCAAAACTTAAAAAAAACAAGCTCACCACATTTTCACATTTTTGAAATATTATAGAGCTTTTCGAAAAAACTGCTATTTTTAAAAGTACCATTTTTGTTTAAACAGCTATGTCTCATTTTAGGCTATTGAGTATTATAAAATAAAAAATTACGGGATGCTTTGTTAGCTTCAAACGAATCCAGCAGAGCACCCCAGTTTTTTTTTAAACCACACCACATTTTTTGGCTCCTACAATATTATAAAATATTCGAAATTTGACATTTTTAGAAAAAATTCGCAATTCCTTGCTGACTTCAAAGTTTTTTTTCTGAAAACAAATATACTTACCACATTTTTAGGATTTTAAAACAGCCTAAACATGTGTCATAAGTAGTTGTTTTTATATATTAAAAAACTGAAGTGTCCTGCTGACTTTGTTCCAACAAAGCACCCTGTATTATTTAAAAATAGCAATTTTTTTAGTAAAGTTTTACAATATTTCAAGAGTCTAAAAATGGGGTGTGGTTTTTAGAAAAAAGCTTTAAAAAACCGAATTGCTCTGCTGGCTTCTTTCGAAGGTTAGCAAGCACCATGTATTTTTTAAAAATATAATATTTCAAGTGCATAAATATATGGTGTTGCTGTTTTTACAGTAAAAAACTTTATAAAACAGAGGTGCTTTGCTGACTTCGTTCGAAGCTATCAGAGCATTTTAAGTTTTGCATAAAACGAGGAGCATAAAATTT